ATATAATTTAGTCGTCGAAGTCGATGAGGTTACCCATGTCCTCGACATGCCGGCCCGCCTGCACCGGTGCTAGGTGAAGTAACTCTTGAAGCTTCTCGAGGGTCATTACGGCGCGGCTTAATAACTCGCGGATGCATCGGTGAGCGAGATTGCGGCCACCCTGGGTTTGCTTGGCTGGTTTTTTTGACAACTCGGCTGGCGAGCGATGGTCGTCTACGGCGAGGTGGAGTGGTGCAACATCGTATAGTGGGTACGTCTGGTTTTCCGGCGGTCTGACCCGAGATCCCTGGAAAAAGAGGAGAGGAGACACACGACTGGAATTGCGAAACATCTTAGTTAGCCTGTGAAAGAGAGTCGTAAAATGAATTAGTTGGGAAGCATAAGTGAAGTGAATTGAACGAAATATGCGTTTGGGAGAGTTATTGCGTGAAAGTATGAGTGAGCTTGGAGAAGGCGTATATAATTGCTGATAGGTTCGAGGTTTAGTTGTGGGATATGTTTCGGGCAAAGGAGTAAGGCCGCCAATCGTAGACTTTAGCTTCCGCTCATTCAGGGTGAATCGCTTGTGATTCATTAAGTCTTTAGGTACTGAGATATTCCTATTAATATTCTGCTGTTGGCGTGCCTTTAGAGTGGAGCATGTGACCTCACCTTTGGGATGTTCGGGGTATAAAGTGAGACTGATCCTCAAGTAACCAGTTGACGATGACTTTTCCGGCGAATGTGGTTGGTGATGATAATGACCACCGATATACGGAATCAAAACGGTCGTCGAGGTGTCATCTGAGTCGGGCTGCATCGAAGTTGACGCTGGGCTTACTGCTGGGAATCGCAAACCGAATGTCTTCGGGTCTGAAGCAGAAGTAGATTCATGCGAGTTCGTAACGGGCTCCGAACTGTGCCAGTTTGGCACTGCTGAAGAGGAGATTGATTCAGTTGAAGGAGGTGACAACCGAGAAATCTCGCCAGATTCATCAACGCCTCGCCTTATACCGTCCTCGAAATAGATGACAGGCGTAGACTTTGGTTGCTGCTGATGATAGTAGTCTTTGTTATATAACCATGATTTGGGGTAAGAGAGTAATGTTGGCATTGGGGACCTACGTCGTGGAGCTGACGCGGTTTTTCCAAACTTTAAGCATTCTTCAACGTCTGCGGGGTTGAGAGTTTAATTTGTGCTTCCGTCGAGTAACTGACTATTCTGAGTTTTCATTGGCGATAGAGTCCCTGCCGGAGGCTACCGCCTCTGATAAATTTTGGGGTAGATATAGAGTGGGACTAATTTTTATTTTAGAGCATTTAAGGGAATCATTGGAGGATTCTATGCTGTCTTTGTTCTTTGGAGTGGAACTAGGTGTGGGAGATTTCCCAGTTGTATCTATAGGGGGAGACACCTGAGTAGTGGGCTGTATATTTGACTTATCTTCATTGGGGACTGAAGTTTGAGTTATGTTGGGCGCAATATGCGAAATTTGCTGAGTTAGTGAGTTCGTATTGAGAAAGTCCAACGCTTCAACCATCTCAGCTTTGCAACTACTATATTTAGTGAAGCTTCTTTCATACATTTGCTTTGCTGAGTTACTAGATTCAGTAACTGGGCGGGAATGGAGGGTAAAAACCGTTGGGATATTATTATTATTAAAGTGCGGGTTCGGGAGAAGTCTAAAGGAGTCCATGATACTTTCCCAATTTTTATCCAAAATGTCTAATTTTACCTTTAACAACGACGCTGAGAGGCTCGCTGTTGAACGCAATGACCATCTTTGGCAAAATAAATCTAATATATGGCATTCAAACATAAAATCTTTATAGAGGGTATTTAAGGATACAGTTTGTGGGGGACTTTCCATTATAATTGTAGAAAGGGTGGAGAACGGTAAAAAACTCAAAGTTAATTATTTATGTTAATGCGTGCGCTTATTTATTTTGTCCCACTGTGCTATTTTATATTTTTATTACACTGTGCTATCTGTGCTTGTACAGTGCAATATTGAGCAAGTTGGGGAAGTATGTACAGCGTTCAATACATATATGTGGCTATCGAATGAGAAAAAAGAGAGCTAAAGAAGCGCGTATTTATGCACGTACGTATGTATGTAAAAGTGACTTTACTTTTATAAGGGTGGCTGGTATTTTATTTAGTCAGTGAAATCAAGTGGATCAAAGGGATGGCCAAATTAATGGTGATAATTTTG